CCCAGTGCAAGAAAGACATGGATGTATTGAAGGAGGTCCAGAGAAAGGCCCTGATGATTACTAAGGTCTTGGAGTATCTAGGATGCAAGGAGAGGTTGAGAGCTGGGACCATTCAGCCTGGAGAAGGGAAGGCCTGAGGGGAATCTTACCAACGTGTAAAAATATCTGGGGTGGAGAAGGGAGTAAAGAAACAGACTCTTCTTATTGGTGCCAAGTAAAATGACAAAAGGCAACAAACTAAAGAATAGGAAATTCCATTTAAATATAAAAACATTAACTGCAAGGGTTATGGTATATTGGAACATATTGCTTAATGAGGTTGTAGAATGTCCATTCTTGACTATGCTCAGTTGGATGCTGAACAACCTGCAGTAGTGACTTTGCTTTGAGAAGGAGATTGGACTAAATGACCTCCAGAGATCCCTTTCACCTTCAACCATGCGATTCTGCGTTTTGGTGGCTGAACTCACTGTCAGTTCCTTGGTTGGTAAGATCCGTTGTAAAAAAAGGCAAAGTGAGGGGAAGTGAGGGTTTGCCCTTCACTCCTTTGGAAGCTGCTTTTAAGCTGAAGCTCTGATCCTAGACCCTGCCTATGGTACATTACAGCTGTATAGCAGCCATGTCTGCACTCTGTATCCTGTCTTCTTGATTCTGATCCTGATCAACGCTTGCTGACTTGAGCTCCTGGCTTGACCTCAGACTTGCTTTATTGTCAGAATTGCTGGGTTATCACCAGACTGAGGCTCATGCTGATCAATGTCTCTGGACCTGGTAATGATCCTGACTTCAGCCACTATACTCACTCTTCGTGGGTGAATGTTGGTGCTTCCTGCTTTACTATTTCCCTAGTCACTTAGCTCACCTTCCTTCATTCAGCAGCCTGCACTTACAGCTCCCTGACACTAGGAATGCGAGGAAACAGGAAATTCATAAAGAAACTACTGTGAAAACTCAAATGTTATGGATACTACCTCAAATGTACACGAGAAAGGGGAATTGCCATTTAAATCTAATAGAATAAGATAAAAATTGAAATTAAATTTTATAAACATATAAATAAATATATAAATAAATAAAAACACACCTTTGGTTTCATTGATAGGTGTTTCTGTTTGGAGTTTCTTTAGAACTTTCAGTGGTGATTTTGACAAGTTCTTCTGGACCTTGTATCAATTATGGAAGGAATTTTATGAAAAAAAAGGAATTATGAAAGGATTAGGAAAGAAACTAGGTCTTACAAGAAGAACAAGTCTGTCAATTCAAGCTGACACTTGTAGTCTGGTAAATCAAAACTTAGATTAAAATTGAGTAAAAAATTGAAAGAATATGCTTCCTTCCTTACATATTTCATTCTCATCTCCCTGTGGGAGCTAAACCCAAAATTAACAAAAACGTTTACCTCATTTTGTTCCCCAGAACTCTCTGCTTCCTGTGGAATCACATTGTGTTCAATTTGCACTTCATTTTTAAGAAAAGCTTGGATGGCCTCCTGAACCAGAGCACCAACAGATAGTACCTGAATATTGCAAACTAATACACAAAAAAATTAGATAACTTTACAGTTTGAGTTGAGCATACTTACAGAGAGACTATTACTGGCAATTAAATTAATGATAGGAAGACAGCATTATTACATGGAAAGCAATGCACCATTCCTATCATTTGGGCTTTTGATGTAAGTTGTTTCCACTGTCTCTTCTCTGTAACCACTGCACAGTGTGTATCACAATCACATAGCTATCTTGATAGTCTCTTCTATAACAAACATCCTCAGAGAAGTTTACCAAAAGCATTTTTAAATTCTCAATGCAGAAGTAACACTATATTAACACTATATTCAAGTTCAGGTGTTTTTAATCTTATTTTGGAAGATAATGAATGAATGACTTGCAACCAATTCCTCCAAAATACAGATGCATCTGAGGTTCAAGGATTACCAATGTAAGGATTTGGCCAAACAATTCTCATTGTAAGCATGGGATTTTAATGCAAATAATAATTTTTAAGAATTTTAGAAAAAAAAAATCTACCTTTTTCAATAAACTTTACACAGGTAGTTTTTCCACTAAAAAGTTTTCCCAAAATACATCCCTTGATACGAAACAGAGGAAATGCAGGTGGTGAAGATTTGGGTTTTGGAGGATAGGAAATCTCCATCAGTCTATGAAGCACATGGCCCAATATGTTATTATTAAGAGGAGGTTTGTTTTCATTGTTCTCTTCAGTTGGGCTCCATTCCCCTGTCATACTCTGTACAAATGATAAATTACCAAATAATTTGTCAATATGCTTTGTCTTTCATCTTTCTAGATATATGTATTTATACATAAACACAATACATACAATAACAAAATCTGAATAGTACTAAATAATAAAATATTTTTTTAGAATACACCCTTGTTAAAAGCTATAATTATGTAATAATCATTAAACATGTATTGATATTCAGTAATAATTAGTTGAGTGAGACAAGGACTCCTACAAACACTTTCATAGATTCCTAGAACCATTTTTTTTATTCCATTAACATGAAAAATCATTTCACCAATACCACAGAATAAATCCGTAGCAGATTTCTGGAACAGAAGCCCAGTATCCTAATATTCAGCATTCTAAAAACTGGGAAACATTGTCCAGTATCACACATAAATCTTTGAAAATTTTTACAGGTAAAGATTTCAAATAAATATATTTGCCTATCACACATTCAATAGACAGGAAAAAAAATAAAAGCCAACAATCCAAAACAAACAAACCACTGCATAATTCAAACAATTTTATGGGAAGGAAATACTGAGTAGAAACTTCCAGTTCATCTACTGTGAGATCAATATAAATTTATCAGTGGTACGAGTTACCAGCATACAGCTTAATGAGGTTTTGCTAGTTAAGATACTCCTACTGACAAACACACTGGGAAATAGATGAGAATGGAAGGATGTAGTAAAAAAAATTGAAGACATAATTGTTTTTGACACTCTAATATCTACTCTACCAGTATACACTAGGAAAGTCCTGATGTGCAGTTTATGCTATGAGAAACATTTTAGTATGGAAGATAATACTAGACCTATATTAATTATTATTTGGTTGCAGGTTACTAAACAGCTTTTTGGAAGATATGAGGACTAATAATATTCCCAATTAGATTCTAGCTTGTCACTTCATTATGGTACACAATAAAGGGTTGAGAGGCAAACTAAAATGTTTCAGCAAGAGAAGCTTCAACTAGGAAAAAAATGAACAAAAAAAAATGTTCACAATGAGAGTGGTTAAGCAAAGGAACAGGTTGCACAGAGGATCTGTGGAATCTCTGTCCTTGGAAATACTTGAAGGCTGACTAGCCAAGGTGCTGAGCAACCTTATCTGACTCAGAAGTTGGCCCTGGTTTGAGGAAGAGGTTGAACTAAATTACCTCCAGATGCCTTTCAACTTAAACTGCGGTACCGTTCTATAAATTAAATATTTAATCAACACCAACAGAAGCAACTAGTTTCATTCCAATTTCTACTGAAAGATACCGTTTCGAATGCATGTTCCTGGCAGAACATGCCATCTTTTTCTGAACTAACTATCATGAATGATATATTGCTACAGCACACATTTTACTAGCAAAACTTCATCACTGCTGACTTTGAACATATGTGCATTAGATAGAATAATACAATGTAACTTACCACTCTAAATGAAAGTATCACTTATTTTTAATCAGTAAAAACAAACAAAAATTCTTTTTGAGTTGTGCAATATCCCTCTGTAATATATCTCAGAAAACGTACTTCTTAGTATACAATTGAAAAGACATGCTTTAAAAAAAAAACAAATCCTTATCCTATCTGAACCACTCTTCCTTAAATATATATAGAGATGGATATGTTGTTTTAAATTCTATCGGACTTGTAAGAAAAATGAATTCCAAATGCAATGGGCTCCCCCTTCAAAGTACTCACCTTACAGAATTCTTGCCCCTTTAACCATAAGATTGCTAGACTGTACCTGCCTTGAGCTAAAGTAGCTTACCTGTCAGAAACAAGTTTTCAGGTATCCAGGTGAGAGTTATAGACCTACCGGTCAACACTCTAGATCAAAACCAGGAACTGATATTTTGAGCAGTGCCTACTGATATGCTTGTTTTGGATGATTCAATTAATTTATTAAGTGATCAGCCAGAACTGATGATGCGGTAGTTTCCAAATATTTTCAAGCTCAATCTAATGTGGAATGTGCAATGGACTGATAGCACTGTATTTTGTTCTGGTATTTTATCAAATATATTTGACACTTTTAGTCAGCATTCCTAATGTGAACTTAATATTCTTGAGATATGTCAAATTGCCTGTGCTGGGTTTTTTTTTTCTCCAGGGTTAAGAAAATCAGCATAAACTTTGCTAGAACGCTATGCCAATACAGTTTTATCTAGAAGCAATAATTTGAAGGTATTAGCTGTTCAATTTGTTTTTTAGAAGACATAAGTATGAATTGGTGCCTACAATTTCCCATCATATGATACAAGCTTTTGATGAATACTGATGCATAAAGGCATATGACTAACAACATCTGGAAAAAAATTAATTATGTGAATGTGTATTTGAAAAAAAACTGGTAGTGAAAAAGAGGCTTTAAACATGTCATTAAATGTTTGTGACCTTCATTTCCCTTACATGTAGGGAAGACTACTGTGACTTTTTCATATAAACAATATGACTGAAAGACTTCAGTTTTCATTAGTGGTCCCCAGTAACTGTTTCCTGCCTGTCTGTCCTGTATGTCCTCCTTGTTGGTCTTATATATATGCTTTTTTTCACCTAAGAAAGTGACCACGAAATTCATTATATGAGTTGCGGTAGTCTGAACAAGGACCTTATAAACAGATAAATCAGAAAAACATATAAGATTGAAACCAAAGTAAATTGAGCATGTAACACACAAACGTGTAACAAATGTTAATACTCATTGCAAAAGGTTTGTAAAATGGTTTGTAAAAATGTAACAATTCGTTTGGGATGTGAGTAAAAGTATGTATATATATATATATATAGTAGCTATAATTTTCCAACAAGAAAAACACAGGTTATTTGCAGTGACTTTGCCATATTATAGTTAAACAGATTATTTGAAAAGACTAAATACATAGTGGGATATGGGTTTTTTTCTAGAAAGAAAAGCATCATTAGTGTAATTTGTAAAAAGAATTACAATATATTTTAACAGGAAAACATTCATCCTTCATCTTTCACTTGTGAAATTACGTAATGTATTGTAAAGTCAAATAAAAATTTTTAGGCACCCTGAAAAATAGTTGCTTGCATTCTAACAGAAGGTTAACAGCATCAACGATTTTTCATAATTTTTGTAAACATTACCACCTTAAAATAAATGGATCCCTCAAACCAATAATTCTTTGTAGACAGCTTTCACTCAAAATTGCTGAAATTAAGACTATTGGGCTTTGTAACAGATACATTATTGAATTTTACTTGCTTTTGCTGGCTACCTTCTGTTGCATTTTCAAACGTGGTAGCATTAACCACACTTTCAAATTCCAATTAGCTAAAATTTAATTGTATTGCAATTTACATGTTGGTACTATGAATTCAAGAGAGAAATATAGTCAATGTTTTATATAACAATGAAATCATAACAGTGTTTTAAAATGGCACCAGCTCTCCAGTGCTACTAACATATAAACCAGCCACACATTTCACGTAGAACCTCACACAATGAAAATGCATGTCAAATTCTGATATCAGAAATTAGCAAAAGAAAATAATGATACATCACAACAAAATGATTAGAAAAATCAAGGTGTATTATCTTCCATTATCTTCTGATATACCTTGTATTCACCATAATCTTTTTCATCTAACAGATTCATTTTATTCAGCTCTACAAGTTGGTCTGGACTTGGTTCATTTGGCAAAGGTTGACTTGAAGCTTGTTCATATATCAGTTTTCCTTTGAAAAAAAATTCCTTCCAATCACACATCAGTTTTAATGGAATTTTGCTGCAGAAGAAAAAGAATGAGTTCCAAAACAAAAATTAATGGAGTTGAATATTTGAGAATAGTAAACCCAAATTTAGAAGAACCACAATCATTAAACAAGCATATGCTAAACTAGATACAGTTTACAATGCTTTCTATAATTATTAGAGCTTTTTGTAAGTGCTTGGTTACTTATATGACAGCAGTAGGCACTTGTAGGCTTCATTACTTTCACAAATGTGTCATAGCATAGCATTTGGCTGGCAAAACTGTGTAGTAATAGTTTTGCTATAGCTATTTTTCCCTGCTCCCAAATATTGTTCCCTAATGTGGGGTAGGGTCTCCTCTCACTAAAAATCTATACAATTTTTTCCTGGAAGCTAAAATTAATTCAGCGTCATATGACTAATTAAACTCTTCTTTTTTTTAGTTTAGAAGGGAAAAATATTCATATGAAAGAAGACAAACTGCACAGAGTAACAAGCTAACTGCAAACAGGATGCTGACATATATCACACTAGAATTCTATGGCTGCTAAAAATGCTTGAAACAAAGATTTATATTATTTCTTAAGACTACACCAATTTGGACTTTGGGGGTTTTTTTTAGTAATGATTGTGATAGTTGAGTGTTATAGCTTTAAATGACTCTGCATTTGCTGTTCAAAAATTACTGAATACACATCGTATGCATCTTGCAAAATGAAGTGCACAGAAACACAAACAAAACACACTGTTGTGCCACTAAATGCAGATACAACCTTGATATGCATATTTGGGAAAGATATTTCAGATATTTGTACACATTGTTGTGTGTCACTCAGTAGAAGCAAATGTGACACGAGCACTGGAACCAGGACTGTGTCAGGCAAGGAAATCATCAAATCATCACTAAACTGTGTCTATGCTGACTATTTTATCAAGTACCTACTGCACCTAAATTTATATAATTTCCATAAAACATAATCATATGTATTTCATATGGTCACAGCTTTACTACTTTAACACACAATTACACCAAAAGGCAATTAAGATTTTGGCACACTTTCTAATACTGGAAGTCTTACTCCATAGTCTAATCACTGAATACTAATGAAAGAACAGCAACAATGCCATACTCTGTGTTTTGGAAACACTCCTACAGCACAGGTACTTGGAGGTTGCTGCCTGTTTAGGACCTTCCTTGAAACCCTGTGAATTAGGGTACATAAGAAGAGGAAATCACAGCATATAAGAATTGGAAGACTGCACAGAGTTGCTACTTTCAGGAAAAGCCAGGCAGGTTGATAAATCTTACAAAATTCATCCTGTTTGTATTACACCAGGGAAGCATTCAGCTAGTGGAGTAACTTAGAAGTAAATACGCATCAATGATTTTTTAATTTTTAAACTAAGGAATTTGTTCAGAAAAAAAGGAAGTCAGTATTTCCACAACTGGTAGATCTACTAAGCCTTGGTCTCATAAAAATTCAAGCTAGCTGAGTTTTCAAGAAATTACGCTAAGGCTTGTATTCACGCTGTATTACACATCGGTGAATCCTCACACTAAAGTGATATCACCATTTTCCCAGGAAAACAAATTGAAAATGTCCTGTAAGATACCTAAGAATCTGCATAAGATGTTTCAGGTGCTTAAACGACTCCGAATAACAAAGCCTAGCAGCTACCATACTCACTTGTTTGTCAGTATACGGTATTCTCCTACTTTTGTTGACAAATCAATGATTTGGTTAATCACTTCCCAACATATAGAATAATGCTTTTTATAACGAGTCTGAGCTCTTTCAACAGCAATTTTCTCATGATGTTCTCTTTCTTTGTTAATTTGTTCTTCATAATCAATTTTTTCTTGTTTTGCCAGAGCCTAGAATTTTTTTTTAAAGAGTAAATTTGAGATTGCAAAGAAAATGAAACTGCAGAACTGTACAGTCCTGGAAACAAAATTTAACTTTCTCATTTAATTCAAGAAATGAAAACAGCTAGGTTTTCACCAGAGTTGGACAGCCAGCAACCAGATTAACACATACAAATATCTGAAATTGTTTTCTTTCTAACTGCCAACATATAATGAAATAAAGGAGAAATATATCAGCTCTTTCATGACAAAGAGATTAAGAATATATTCACTGCTTGTGGGGTAGGGAAACATGAAATGATGCTGTCTACTCTTCCTGAAGAACAACTATGCAGATGCATTGGCAAAGGCTTAGTTCCATTGAAACCCACAATGGAATACTCATCAACAGCTATTGCCTGGATTACACAGGACTCCAGCTATGTTGGAAGATTTGGAGCTCCTAATTGTCTTTAGCAGGATCAAAGTAAGATTGCTACCATCACATTATGGCCTACTATGGGTGTAGCACTTGGAGGTTTGCCATGGGATTATGAATTCTTTTAATCTATTAATCAAGTCCCAGCTCCCAGGTAGGAATTAGCACTCATGAGTGAAATTCTTCCAGCAGGTTTCAAAAACAGATATTAACAGATTACATCTAAAGGAAATCAAAAACATTGTTCTTGAAACAAGACTTTATGTCATTATCTTTTGTCATTTTGCCCCTCCAAGACTGTGCCTTTTAACCTCACCATACAGAGAAAAGCTAAGATCAGTTTGAAAGATGAAAATTAGACTTTAAGTTGCTCAGTTTTATCCCTTATTAACTTAGCTGTAACTTTGAACCTAGATAAAAGCAATATATTCGTCATTAAATCACCGTCCCTAGAAAAGTCCTAAATTCTAACAGTTGACGATACAAATTCCATTTTGCAACAGGAAGGTATTGTAACAGTCCTACAGAAAGTCAGGGAGGAAATAATCTTTTACCGCTTCCCTGTTAAGAGCTTCCTGGAACTCTTTCAGTTGTCTTTCTTCATATTGTTTTTCCCTGAAAATTCTGTTTTGCCTTAACATCTCTTTTTCATGTCGAACTTGCATGAGGTGAACAGCAATCCTCCGCTCCTGTTGAGATTGTCTTGTTAGTCTGTAAATAAGTTGTTCCTCCTGGTAAGCCTCCTAAAAGACAAAAACCAACAGTTTAAGTACAGCTTATAAACTATTTCATAGAAAACTCATTAGTGTCTCATATGAGAAATATGAAGGGAGTCATATAGCAGCATTTACCTGCTCATTTGATACATAAATCTGGAAAAACATATACATCTATTTATGAGTACAGTTTTTGTAACCTATACAAGAATTTTAGAACCATGGAAGTGAATTCTAAATATGTCTTAACTGTGATACTCAGTAAAAGTACATTTGTTCAGGTTAACTCAACTTTAACTTGGATATTTCCTGTGTACAAAGAAACTGCAGCATATTTCAAGTAATCACTTCTGAATGCAGAGATATATCCTTTCCTCAAATCATGAACTGGTCATAACTTTCCTTACTTATCCCTGCACTCCACCAGTCTCTACTTGCAACCATACTCTGCTGGATCCTTGATCAGTATTCTACAGGTTTGAATTTTTTCCTTCTTTCTTGGGACTTGGGTTAATTACCTCCTCCATTCAGTAGACTGGCAATATAGGGAAGCATTCAGAACAGAGGAAAATACAAGACTTCTAGGTAACAGTTGTAGTATTCTCACTGGAACACAAATAGAATCCTCTGTTCAGTACTAGAAGAAAATCATTTTGAACCATTGCCTGAAGCATGTTCAGTGTGCACAGACACTTTAAAGGCTGTGGACTGTTATTTGTCAAAGAACTTGACAAAACATAATAGCACCTTCTCCCTACTACACTTCTGTATACTGTTTTCGTATCTAAATTAATGCTTAACCTAACTTAAAGTTTTGCCTCACTACTCTCACAGTCCAGAACTACATCTGAGTTCTAAGCGAAAGCATCAGCTTGCCTTTCAAGCCCCATTGCGAAATATCACTCCTACAGCAGAATCTTAGAGGAAATTTCTGATTCCCTGGACATTTGTTTCAGATGTAGCAAATCTGCTATGAAATGTAAGTTCAAATTTAAGGACCTAAATTGGGAACTGATCTGAAGAGTTCAAATTAATTCTCATAAGAACAGACAAACAGGTAAAGCCAGCTAGTAGTAGCATGAAAAACAAACCAAATTAAGTATTGCCTATATTTTCTTTTAATCTGGTTTATTTTCCATCAGCTGTCTGTGACCGAGAGAGGGCAGAACACATCACACAAATTCAACTATAAATGAAAAAGCAAACTTTATTACATACTATCATACTATGGTGAAAGAAAGAACTCTAAGAAGTCTAGATCTGTGCTACAAAAGCGAACAAGACATCTGTAATCGACTTCTAACACAAAGCTGCAAAGCACGGCTATTTTAACTGCAATAATAAGAACAACTTTCTAATAAATTCAAATCTTTAATGTTGATGTTAGGGAGAAGCCAATACTTTTCAAACAAAACTCCTTCTGTATTTTTAAGTTCCTTTGCCTTTACAACTGCTTAGAATAAAATAAATTCAAGTTAAACACTGATTACTTGTAAAGACTAAGCTGATATAAAAATTTCTCAACATTTTGCTTATTTTAGCCAAAATGTGAGCTTTGCACTGCCCTTGCCTAGCACTGAATCTCATGACACTGCATGATAGTCCTAATAGCAAAGATGCAATCATCTCTGGCTTTAATCCTAGAGTGCTTCACCTGCACTCAGTATTGTCTTCCTTACGAAGTTTATCACAAAATGAGGATCTAAGCTGGAATGCGTTTTGTATGATAATTTTAGCATAATTTTTGTACGCTATTTTTCTACACACAGAATTATTATAATGCATGCAACTGAAATTGAAAACAATGCCATAGTAACAATTTTATATGCACATCTTCATATTCACGCTGTGCCTCATTCAACACAGTTCAGGTGACAAAATTTTCCAGTAGCACTGCCTACTGAAGAGTTAATCTGTCCATTTGTCTCTTACATTAATGAAATCAAGGTAATAAAAGGAGACATGATGCCCTTTGCTGGACTCAGTATTTCGTTAAGATTTCAAACAACAGTAGAGGATGCACAGACTTTGCTTCCTGTTACAAGTAGGTAACCACGGTTTTCTTTAGTTGCAACTGCTTATACCCAACCCTGGATTAGTCCAGCAAGAAGTACTTGACTGGAGGAAAATGGATCTTTAAATCTTAATTCACAGAGGACTGAAGGAGCCACCCTAACAGAGTGGTAATTTGTCATACTCAAAACATCAACTGCATGGTGCTAATAGTTGGCCCAGTGAAAAGTCAAAGCACCTCATCTAAGTGAATGTGCCCTTTATAAAAGAAAAAGGAAGATACTCCTTTAGAACAGGCTTGAGAGGTGGGCCAATGCAAACCTCATGAAGTTCAGCAAGGCCAAGTGCAAGGTCCTGCACATAGGCCAGAACAATCTCAAGCACAAATACAGGCTGGGAGGAGAATGGATAGAGAGCAGCCCTGAAGAAAAGGACGTGGGGATGTTGGTGGATGAGAAGCTCAACATGAGCCGGCAGTGTGCAGTTGCAGCCCAGAAAGCCAACCGTGTCCTGGGCTGCATCAAAAGAAGCATTAGCAGCAGGTCAAAGGAGGTGATTCTCCCCCTCCACTCTGCTCTCCTGAGACCCCACCTGGAGTACTGCGTCCAGCTCTGGAGCCCCCAATATAAAAAAGACCTGGACTTGTTGGAGCGAGTCCAGAGGAGGGCTATGAAGATGGTCAGGGGACTGCAGTGAAGCATTGGTAACTATCTTTCATACAAATAAGAATGTACAAAGTACTACAACCTAAGGTTGAAAAGTTCAGAAACTTCTGGGCATACTAGAACAGAATAAAAATGTTAGTGTAACTTTTTAACCTAACATTTTACATCAACTTCTTCAGAGAGAACTGTGAAGTGTCCAAAGAAAGAATAAATACCGTAATCTTAGTAATCGTTTGAAAAATTACTACTGAGAAAACAGAACACACACTTTTTTTCAGTTTACCCAGTTGAGACAACAGTGGCATTCAGTGTCCAGGCATTAGTTTGTTTCTGTTTCATGTTGCTCATACATAATTACTATTATCACATTTTTCTATTTTGCTGTTTCCCTACTTAAATACAAAGGAAACAATTCTGTCCTATTGTGTAGTCATAAGTGTTATGACCAATACTTACCATTTAGCATACAAAAATCTATCTGGTTGACAATCAATAATCTAGTAACAATTAATTTCCCATCCCATTTTAGTCTACTCAATTTATTGCTGACAGTAAAACCTTCCTGATAACTTTTTAAATTCAGAGAGATAAAATCTGAACAGAGCATTTTAAAACAATCAGTACTCAGCACAGATGCTTTGTTGAGATGGTGGAGATCAAAGATTCATTTGGGATGAAGCCATGTTACTGTCAAACACTTTCAACTCCTGCCTATGAAAATCTGACTGGCATCAGCCTGTGCTCCAGATAGAATGTCATGTAATTTTAAAGTATTATTTCTCCCAGGCTCCAACTTGTACTCCCTGTAGTGTGCCAAAACTGAAAAATTGGAACAAGATTCTTTGAGTAGAGGTTTATATGGACATAAAGCCTATTAAAGCACTGTAAAGGGACGAAATTATTTTGATTCAAAATGATCCCATGCTCTGTGTTCAAGTTTTATGCAGTACAGATAAAAATCTGACTCTACTGTCTACAAGAGAGCTACAATTTCAGCCTGAAAATCCTTTCTGGTTCAATGTCTAATGGAGTAAGAAAGTAATTTTCAACTACTTTGCATATCGTTATTCTAATTTTAAAAAAAAAATCTTAATTTGCTTCCCACTTCTCTAAGTCAAGCAACATCTAATTTCTGAAATCGCACAGAGTTCCAGCCACTCACCTTTTCCCCTGCTAATTTAGAACCAAACTAGCACTAATTATATTCTCTTATTTGGTCAGACTACCGTTCCAGTCAACCGCTCACTTCTCTTTCCTTCTAATTCCTGTAGTCTATGACCTCTATTTTTCCTATGTCAATGCTGATTTTCTTCCTGGGAAGTTAGGAACACTATTGGTACTTTTGCCTTGCTCTGGAGCCTCACTGGACCCAGTCTGATATTACAGCAATTCCTCCATCTTCAAACTGGCAAGTCTCCTACTACAACTGCAGGTGGACCAGCTGCCTGACCTCCTCAACAGCACTGGCCAGCTTTGCTTGCTTACAGCTGCTGTATTCACCAAACACCCCAGTGATTGCTGCTGGCAATGATTGCTGCAGCTGCAGCTGATATCCATGGCTATTGGAAGGACTAATACAGTCTGCTGGGGTTATGTTGGGGCTGCAACAGCTGATAGCAAGTAAAGAGCAAGCTTTAGTACTACAGCGATTTCAGGCAACAGAGTTCCAAAACTTCTTCATGGACTAAGCATATCACACAGAAACCCTTTGAGTGAGAGCTCAGACAGAGGATATGGGAATAGATGGACTCTTGGTCTAAGCCACCACAGGTATTCTTCATATTTCATAGAATATATGTCTGGGATAGATATTGAGAAGTCATCTAATTTCTAGATGCCTACCCCAATACATTAATTTTTTTCTTAACTCCAAAAACACATCCAGACACTACTTGCTTAAAAAAATATATATGTATACATGTCATACCTTTCCTTCTCAGAGATGACACACATCTTTAGTGCTATTATTGTACAACAGCAGAGGAGACAGGCTCAGCTACACTAGGTTCAATACATACGATCTAAGCTAAGGACTCACAGTGCAATACTAAGATAAAAGATAACTAGAAAACACATAAACCCAGTAAGTTGCAAGGTTCTGTTTGATGTAATCACTACTAAAGCCAAGATCTGTGAAGTCAGTAATCTGATAGTTGTTTTTTGAATGAGTGTCTGAGGAGGAATCTGAAAAGCCTTGTGCATTACAGGACAGGATTCAAATGGAATAAGCTGCAACATCCATTTTTGGACACAACACAGACACTCTCCTGAGATCCATCTTCTGTTCCATCACACATCAAAAATCAAAGCTCTGATCTGCAAAATAAGTGTTTTGATTCTTCATATCACCCAGCACAACCATTTCAGAATTTATACAGTCCAGATATAAAATTTTGCATGACACATTTGTAAATATAGGTTTTCAATCAAGCAGTGCTCTGTTTGTTGTTTCTTAGCACCTTCTTCAGAAGCAGTACACATTTTGATCGTTTAAAGTTCAGCTTGGGTGGTGTGGGGCAGGAAATAGAACCATTGAATCATAGAATGGTTAGGGTTGGAAGGGACGTTAAAGATCATCCAGTTCCAAACCCCCCGACATGGGCAGGGATCCCTGGCCCATCCTGGCCTTGAACACCTACCTCCAGGGATGTGGCAGCCACAACTCCTTTGGGCAACCTCTTCCAGTGTCTCACCACGCTCACAGTAAAATATTTCTTCCTAATATCTAATCTAAATCTACCCTCTTTCAGCTTACAGCCACTACCCCTTGTCCTGTCCCTATACTCCCTGATAAAAATTGCCCCTCCTGGAGGCCCCCTTTAAGTACTGGAAGGCTGCTATATGGTCTCCCCAGCACCTTCTCTTCTCCAGGCTAAACAACCCCAACTCTCTCAGACTGTCCTTGTAGACGAGGTGCTCCAGACTCCTGAACATCTTCGTGGCCCTCCTCTGGAATCTCTCCAACAGGTCCATGTCTTTCCTGTGCTGAGGACTCCAGAGCTCGAGGCAGTACTCCAGGTGGGGTCTCAGGAGAGCAGGGCAGAGGGGGAGAATCACCTCCCTCAACCTGCTAGCCACACTTCTCTTGCAGGCCAGGATATGGTTGGCTTTCTGGGCTGCAAGCGCACACTGCCAGCTCATGTTGAGCTTCTTGTCAACCAACACCCCTACGTCCTTCTCTTCAGGGCTGCTCTCAATCCATTCTCCTTCCAGCCTGTATTTGTGTTTGGGATTGCCCCAATCCACATAGAAAGTAGGTCTTCAACTGATTTTTAATAATCTTAGCTCTGCTGCCTTCATATGATCTTTCATGATTTATAAGGATGAACTATGACATAAAGGTGGCAAAAAAGAATGGACAACTGTCCATATTTTTCAAGGAAAGACAATGGTTGGCATAAACATTATTTTCAGAGATAAGTGTATATCCTTTCCTTTATCCCATCCAAATTTTATTCAACCCTCCAAAAATACTGTTCTTTATGCTTGTAAGCAAATATTTAGACTACTAGTTGTGCATGGGTTATATACTTCAGCATACATTTTCTCACCTCTTGTGCTTCATGTGCTATTAACTGTTCCATTAGCATTTTTCGTCGTCTCTTTTCTCGTTGTTCTCTAGCAGATGAATCTTCCTCCAAACGTTTTTGAATTTTTCTTATATATTCATCATCTGAATAAACATTTAACAGTGCAGTTTCTGTCTGTGATGTAGTTTCTAGGGTTGTTGCTTGCAGCTTCTGTGTTTGCAATGATTCTTGTATATCACTGATTGAAAAGATTAAACAGAAAAAGATATTGACTTTACAGGAATTATAGTTCTTACAGGTGTTTTTGCACAGATCCCTGTGTAGTTATGTGCAATTCTGACAAATGCACAACAGATTATTCTGGGGCCAGCAGTCTTTATCGGCACTGTGGCTACTTCTTGATGTTCTTGTGCCCCACAATCATCACTAAGTCCAGAGGAGGGCTTCAGCCCTGACTTGAGCCAACTGTCAATTAGTTCAGTTGCTACAGCAAAGCAAAATTCTTCAAAAACAGGAAATTAGGATAGCTCACAGAATACCAAAGAAAGATGTCTTACTCTTCAAGATATACATACATTCTGAGTGCATTTTTCAGAATTATTAATCACAGGTTGTTTGCACACAGAAGTATCCACAGCAGTACACATGCATGCCACCTCTTCTGACTATCATATATATATCACTAAAGGGGACAGAATGGCTATTACTTAAAATTATTCACAAATAAATCAACATACAGGTAACATAACTCTAAGGAAAAGGTTGCTTTTCTCAATTTTCTTCGAAAAATTTTGCTGTGTGTGTACATACACAACCATTCTCTATTCTCTGCAAGGCCAACTGACCTTACAGAGTCAATGAGTAAAATGAACAGAGAAGAAGAGAGGCACTTTGTGTCCTTTGTTGCTGCATATACGGCAAAAAGGAGGGAACAAAGCTTGAGCCATCCCTACTACAACTATAGGTAAGGCAAAAACACTGTGGTGGAGCTGGAATACTTGCAGTGCTAGTGGGACCATCACTCAAAGGAAAATCACAGTTTAAGCTAAACAAGCCATTATATTTTCTTCAAGTAGCAGTCTACATAGTCAGTAGGCACCTGAGGTAGGATCCTGTCTAAGCTTAACAATCAAATAACCAAATGTTACCTGTCAGTGACTCGGCTGTGTACTGCAGAGGCATTTCCCGCCATAGACTTCTCAAACTTTTTGATCTCCTTGTATGTGTTCTGAAGGAATAACACAAAATCGAATGTTTCTTTTCTCTTCACAATGCATCATAAGGAATGTTCAACAGAGTAAGAATTAGGGAATTATTTTTATGATGTTAGTACCACAGAAATATTTACACCGAAAATATATTAAGCATCAGCTTGATCAAGAAAAAGGTAAGACTATTTTCTTCTACCTTTCATTTCTTTCCCTCTCTCCTTTTCTTAGCTGTACCTGGGTCCACCAGACAGAAAATCCTAAATTTTTGCAGCTATTCATTCTGCAGGATAATTCTGATTTTACACAGGACTCTAGCATCCCACCATTCAGGGATTTGAAACAAGATATTCTGGGCTATGATCTGCTTTAGATTTAATGGCTTGAATTCATCCCCTTATAGTTACTCAGGCAACTACGTTCCTACACTCTACTTTTAAATGTATCTGTCTCAGTTGTGCAGTTGGAAAAACTGGTAACATTTGGACTCTTGATGACAATACAATCCATGAACTGTAAGATTACAATCCAAGTACTCTTCAGCACTAGGTAGTGCAGATTTATTTTTTTTGACTGCAGCATTGCTATCATCTCTTGATTTGATCTGAGACTATTGCCAATTTCAACTATTAATAATATTTTTGATAGAGCAGACAGTTTTTCTAATGTGTTACAGAAGAGTTCATACATTATGGTGCAAAACATCACGCACAAAGGAGAAGGAAACACTAATGCTATTATTTCACATACTCTACTCAGCAGACTAGAAGGTAAAATGCTGTCAGCAATTAAATTAGTACTTGCGTATGGTATTTATTTAATAAGAACTTTCTTACATCGAAACTTTTTTTTCCTAAGTAAGAAATGCAGAATCAAAATAATATTTAGCCCAATTTTCACTGTTTGAGTCTGCAATATCACTTTAACAAGTACATCAGTAACTTTTGGACAGTACAAGTACAGCATTTGTAAGTGTAAACACTCCCAGAACATCACGTGTTTTGCAAGTTCAGATAATTAACATCAAAAGAATACAGGTGATAGTTACCTCTGCTTCTCTTTTCTTCTTTAAGAAAGATTTGGCTTCAATAGCTTTTATACTGCTGTTTGGTGGCTTTGGAACCTGTATAATGGCTGCATGAATCCTGGCCATTATTTCATTTTGTCTCCTTCTTCCCATGCGGTGCTGAATAGTCAACATCATGTGTTCAGATATTTAAGTTGAAACAAAATACATCATGTGGCTCTAATACACTGCCTATATATCTATGAAGTAAATGTAATTAAATCATAAGGAAAAAAAAAACTTCTAGGAAGAAAGTAGAAAAGCGTATCAGGCTCCAGGCTTGAGCAAATGATTTTTTTTTTTTTAAAGTAGATCAGTAAAATGTCATGAAAGTAAAAATTCTTTATATTTTGTCCACAGTTAAACCTTGCATTAAGAATATTCTCAGCCATTGTACTCATAAATTACCATTTTTATATCAAGAAACAGATGTTGTAAAATTAATTTGAAATTAAATTATCATTCTACACTCCGAATAATTCTACAGCTTAGCAACATGCTAGTATACGTTCTCAATATTTGAAGATTAAGATATATTTTATACCATTGTCAGAAGACACTACATCTATATATGCTATGTCCACATTAACAAATAGTGTGGTGTGATACAAGAACATCTGTAAAGAAAAACAGTTTGTGTTCAGTGTCCAATAGATATTTAAGGGCTTGTATTAAATTCTAGCTCTTGTATGGTACCAGTTTCATGTCAGAATTCAGCAGAGAATTTGAGAATACCATTTCCTGGTACAGAAACTGAGAATAGCATTAGGTAATATTACTGCTGAACAATGAGTCTCAGATGATCAAGAAATAACAAACACTTAAATTACACTAGTTAAAGTGCACTACAGACACATGCAGTTAAAGGTGGAATTGAGTGGTAATTTTTTTTTTTTTACAAAGACTCAACGAAAGTTAAAAAATAAATAGGTAATATGTCAAATTCAATACTAAAAATTTCTATTAAAATCATATTGTGAAAATAGGTGAAGAGATTTTTTTTTTCATTCTTTTTCATGCAATGGCAATGGAACAGCTAAATAACCCCAGCAAGACTCTCTTCCTTTAAGTACCCATAAAAAAAAGCATCTCGAACTAGTCAATTTTCACTGTGGCTCAACACCCCTTGGATAGGTGGCCAGTTCCTCTATATAAACTGTGGGCTGTACTTTGGATGAGTGTTCCCATATCTTAAGAAATTAGTTCCTCTTTTTTACTTTATCAGAACAGCTGCAAAGAGACACAAGATGTTCTGAGGCTATGCCCACTGTAGGTTCACTTCCCTGTGTCTTTTTCCTGCTTTTGAACAATGTTTCATCTTTTCTTCACAAATGAAGAACATCACAAACCTCTTTTACAAGGACACCTTAAACACACACAGTTGTGAAATTTACACTGTCTTCAAATCAATAAATATTTTCCATGCATGACAATATGCAGATACTCTTAATTTAACACTAAGTGATTTTTAAATATTCATACGTTAAGGGTATTGTAACAGTATATTGGCTTTATATCTACATATTAATGATTGCCATGCATACTCCTTTTCTTTGTTTTTATATAAACATGACTATATAGCATAGAAATAACAAGCATTCACACTGGCTTTAACTAAGTCATTACATACATGACCTTAACAAAAATACTTCTTCAGAAGTCAATAAGAAGTAAGTAGCCACCTTTTCAATGTCTTGAGCTCTTTGTTCCTCTTGGAGCTTCTGAACCTTCTGTTGTTCTGCAATATGTATATGAGCCACTTTATCTTCTATTGCCTTAGATTTTGTTTCAAAGTGTTCTGAAATCTGCTGTAGTTGCAAATCAGCCTGACGTGGCATTAAAGTTTTCAAACGCTAAAATTAAACATCAAGCAATGAAGAGAGAGAAACAGTAGAAAACATGTTTAAATACGACTGTTTTGCAATAGCCATTTCAAACTCTGTTTTCCTGTGTTAATGTATACAGAACAACATCTAAATATGGTGGAATATTTTTCATAAAAATGGGACTAGCGCCATGGAAAAGAACATGCAGACTTGAAAAATGCCGAACTTAGCCTCCTTTTCTCAAACTAGACAAGGGGGCAACGTCATTGCTCTCTACCACTTCATGAGGAGGGGAAGTGGAAAGGAAGGTGCTGATCTCTTCTCTCTGGTATCCAGTGACAGAACATGTGGGAATGGCTCAAAGTTGTGTCAGGGAAGGTTCAAACTTAACATTAGGAAACATTTCTCTACCAAGAAGGTGGTCAAATGCTGGAACAGTCATCCTAGAGATGTGGTCAATGCCCAAGCCTATCAATTTTCAACAAGAGTTTGGACAGTGCCCTTAATAATGCGCCTCAATTTTTGTTCAACCTTGAATTTGTCAGGCAGTTGGACTAGATGAACACCGTAGGTACCTTTCAACTGAACTATTTTATTGAAATTGAAATACAGGAAATTCAATTTAAACATAAGAAAAAAAATACTGAAAGGATGATAAACAACTTGCCCAGACATGCTGTGAAGTCTCCGTCTTTGGAGATATTCAAAACCCAGCGGAACAAGGTCCTGAGCAACCTGCCCTAGTCGACTTTGCTAAGAGCAGCGAGATGGATTAAGTGACCTCCAGAGGCCTCTTCCAACCTCAACTATTCTACAATTCAAATGTCATTCTGAACCCGTCTATGGATAGGAGCTGCTCTCAGCTGCTTTATCATTTTAAAGCTGCCCACAGATAGGCAAAGGGATGTTTCCACTCTTTAGTACTCTCCTTGCACAAGCTGGTAAACTTTCTGCTTGTAGACTATTTTTCAGGAAGCATGCCAGAAAAAATGTGAAATTTCATTCAGTTGAATTTGATTCACAATTTATAGCTCTTTAAAGATTGTTCATCCTGATAACAAATTATGGTCTGCACATGCTGAACATTACTGTTGAAGACAAGAAGATCCTTAACAGAATTTACTGCATTGATACTGACTTCCTCTTAGTCTCCTTTTATACTCTCTCCCTCCTCTTACAGTCTCTTTCCTCTTTGTTTTTTCCCTCTTCATATTACTCAGCATATGGTTATTGCAAGCTGGAGTGTAGTATAAATATATGGAGAGACTTGTAACAAAAGGAATCAATCCACTGTGGCACAAAGCTCAACACAGTTATGAGTAAGTTTCCTGGAGGGGAAATTAGTCTAAGCTGATAACTAGACCGCAATGCAGTCATCAATCTGTACCGAACAAATGAGTAAGATGGTAGCTGCTGAACAGCTACTAGCCTTTGTTTCTATAAGTATTTTAAGTCTGGAGAAAGTTTAAAAACAGAGGAGGTAACACAGAATGAGCCAAAACAAAGGAACACAAAACACAGATGATGATTATCATAATGAGTCACGGATAATCCCATTGTCTACGTATAAGACGTAGCACATAGAAGTACTGAATTTTGAGTAGGAGACTTAAAAAGTGGGGAGGGGAAGCATGCAACAAGCTTGAGATGTACATTTAAGTATGCTACTTTTTCCTATGTGCTTATACAAAATAGGCATAGTTATTTACCTCTCGATACAAAACACTTTCAATAGACTTAAGCTTTGCAGTTGCTGAAGGTCTCATTGCTTCCATGGCTACTCCAGTGAGCTTTGTCTTTCGCTTTTTTTCTAAAGCAATAAACAATTCATACAAAAGCTTTGTTGCAGCCCCATGCTGTCCTGTCATTATGTCTTGGGCCACATTCTCATTAAACTGTACACCAAGGAGGCGAAGCGTGGACTCCAGGCGAGAAAAATTGTTAAGTTTTGCATTTGCAACGCTATATGATTAAAAACAACAACAACAAAATCAGAACATAAACTTCTTTTCAATTCCAACTTTCTGCAATAAGCACTATTATGACAATTATCTCACGTCAAGATAGGAGGGGAAAAAAACACACAGGACTTCCTTAAAGTAATGTGATACACACTTTGGCTTAGGGTTCATACTGCAGTACATGTAACTGGATTGGTCTACTAGGCATAACTTTTGGAAAAAATACAGACCATACTGGGTTACATAGATCTTGACACATGCACACAAAAAATACAAAGAATTAGAAGGAAGTTTCTATATTAACTGCATCAACCCACCTGAGCTCTAACCAGCCAAAATATAGGATTTTTTTTTTTTAAGTCTATATACTCTATTAACCCTCACAATACCTTGTTATATTTCTTCCCCAATAAAAAAGAAAAATAAATTGACATATGGGTTGGAGCAGTGTTGAAAACAAAGGCTATGGTCTCAATGAGCAAAATTTACATTCAAAACTGAAACAGCGGATTGCAGATTAATGTTTGCCTTGATATGCAGATTCTCATCTGGAAGCGCTCAAGACTGGTAGATATACAGGCCAAAACCCAATAACAATAAATTATCAATGTAACGCAATTAACATCAAACTTCATTCAGCAAATCCATAGCTTCATGCTGAGTCAGAACATCATGCTTTCTGTACTACTCTGTCACTTGAGTTCTCAACAGTCCTTTCACGTGAACCAACAAGCTTTTGAGGTCAGCCATGCCACGGCATTATTCTACAAACCTGTCCAAATATAGCTTAAGAGCTTCTGGTAACACAGTATTCATCATATTCTTAGATAAAACAGTCCAGGAGCTTGTTCTTCTCGGTATAATAGCCCATGCCTTATTTCCTAAACAATTATATATAACTGCAGCTTACAAATATTGAACATTTTTTGGACATTGATTCAAGATTAAGGTGAGCCCTACTGTCAGAAATCAACTCACATGCACTGAGAAGCTTTGGTGACATCAACTCTCAACTTTTTATTCTGTATTAAGATCTGATAGAATTTCCTAAACCTGCCTTACAACCCAAAAGTATTGTAAAGCTTATTTCAAGATCATTGTAACAGTTCAGGGAAAATGACAATATTTCATTTTTCAAATACGACCAGCCAAACTGGAAACGTTTTACAGTAGTATTCCTTTTAAAACAGTATCACATTCTCAATTATCGTTCCCTTGCTTATGTGCCCAAGAAGTGTGCAACGTAAGGAGCTAATGCAGTTAAGTAGACCTTGACGAGTTAGTTGAAATTACCCCATTTTCTTTTCTTAGTGCCTTCTAGATTACACTTGCCCATCCTAAAAAAGGAAGCTATATTTCTCTCACCATCACCCCAGCAGATATGATCTTGGCTTGTGCTGTGCTAAAACACATTAGAGTGATGCCAGCTTACCAAATGATCCATGAATAATAGGCTTTTCCTTAACAGCACACTCCAAATTATAGAAGTATTACTTTATTATGTGTATTAAGTAAGATTAGGCAGGCACAGGCTTATGCAGAATTCTAGAACTATACAATGACTATTACACAGAAATAATTGCTTTTAATATGCAGGAGAAACCTGTTGGAATTGAGAAAACATTGACTCAATTCTCATTAGTTGTCAAAAGATCAATGTCAGTCATTAATAGAAAAGGAAATCATTAAGAAAGCTGAAAACATCAACTTAATTTTACAAAGTTATGGACTACCATGTTAAAGAACACCAGATACAGTCCTCCCCACTCTCATACACTATATACTCCAAGACCTTACTACTCTTTTGGGCCTTTCTCTGGACCTCCTCCAATACATCCATGTCTTTCTTGCACTGGG